CGATTAGGTGTAGACCCAAGGGAAATTACTTTTGAAGATGATATCACTATTAATGTTGATGATCTCAGCATTGAAGAAATTAAGGAGAAGTTAAAATGTCTTGGCATAAAAACAAGACTCAGAAGCCTTGTAAAACTTAGAGAACTCCTCCGTGCTCAACTTTGACTACAAATAGCTGTAGACTCTCTGGGCAGATTGTTGAAATGCACAAAGTCCAAGAGTCAATTCAAGTACGATGCGCAGCAATAAACGAACTCCACACACACAGATCACACATAAACAATAACTTTAATACCAGTTATAATTATACAATGTTCTGTTGTTGATTCTCGATAGAGATTGAGGTTGAGGTTTGGTAGATAGATTGGTATGGTTGCGGATATGGATATAGATATGTTTGTGGGTTCGAACTACACAATTTAGAAAAGATTTACATAGATTATGGCATGCGCGCAAACTAACATAAGCATAATATATACATGAATACGATTTGACACTCTACGCGATTGAGAATAGAGAATAACGAACTGACTACTACAAGATAAATGTAACTTACTTTGGTTGGCGCACACCAAACTTGAATAGATATTGATGATAATTCGTTCGTATAGATTTATAGATGTTTACCGTTCTCGCTCTGTTTGAGTTGACAATATACTGATACCTGATACTTTAAAACTAAAGACTAATAATACATGCGTTCCGTCGCCATGGAAATGGCAACATATCAATATTCCAGACTACGTGTACGTTTCAAACCTACAATAGCCAGATTACTATACTGTATCTGACAAACATTCAATAACAATTTAAGTACCCATTAAAGTTACATACTGTACAATACCATTTTAAGAGTATTTTATTCTAACCACTGTTGTTCGTATAACTATAACTTATCTTTGTTCGCTTGATTTCTAGCAATAAAAAATGAAACAATCTCAATTGGCTTTTGTGGAGCTAGAGAAATACATCCATTTACCAACATATATCGTTTTGCAGACCATTTAAGAACAGGTTTAGCCCTTATTGGAAAATGCACTGTCCGTCCTTGACCATCACGGTTGAGAAAATACCACCAGTATTTGTGCAATTTAAAGCGTGAGAAATCAGCCTTTCCAAGTAGCAATGACCTGGGAAAATCAGCAACTTCTTTTCCTTTGCCTTTTACCAAAAAGCGGAAAATATCATGATCCATATCAACATTAACCTTGGGTTCCAAACATTTAGATTTTAAACGGCTCAGAACAGCATCAGCAAATTTTTCAGTAGCAACGACAATCCGCTCTTTGTTGGGACTTGGAGTACATGCATTGAAATTCCTACAAAATAGAAAATAAAACAGAAGTATATTTGTGCATAATCACAAACAGAATTTCAAATAAAAAAATAATTTAACCATGTCTGGCAGCTTGAAATTAGCGTAATACCTACTATTGAGATCAAATGATCAATGAGATTAATTGTATTGAGAATTTCCACCTATAATTATAAAACTGTTCATATACCGTATTAGCTCTTTGCCCAAATGGTTGGCTGGTTCCCATGAGCAACTAGAGGAAGGCCAGTCTTTCCATTTAACAAGATATTGCAATTCCTGTATGTACATAAAATAAAGAAATAATTATTTAACCATAACTTTAACGATAATAACGAAATCTGTTTACCGTAAATTGTCCGTAAATATAGCCAATATGTATTTAGTTTTTACCTGACAGAAAGAAAACCACGTTGCAGGCTGCAGCGTATTTTTAAAAGCTAATGGCAAAGTGATGTGCTTTGGACTTACATTTTCCCGTTCTCTTGAAGATATTATACGCTCCACTGTATAAAAACCCTGCAATGTTTTTGTTTTCCTCTTCTTTATACGATTATTTAAATCGCCAGATGTCAATGCGTTTAGATCACGATAAAACCCTTGCGAATGCCCGCATCTTCTCTTACGCCATGTTAGAATTTTAAGTCATTAGCGCATGCGCAATATGTGACCATGCGCCCTGCTGACCATTATTTCTCAATGTCACTTTTTTCTGGCGATGCTACGTTTGTTTTTAATTTAATACATTTTCTACGTACAGTTGGTCTCATGCATATTTCATATGCGTTGCTTAATAGTTTGAATTTGTCAAATTGGCTGGCACATGCGTTGTGCCCATCAAAATCTGCCCAGTGGACAAGAGTTGGATAGGAAAATGTTAAAGCACACTGCAGGCACTGGACCTGTGTACATGAGGGCATTAGAGAGGATTGACACTCAAGAGGTATTGTACATTTCTACATACATTCACATACCTTTTTTAGTTTGGCCAGTTAATTACATATATAAAGCAATAATGTAATTTTATATTTGAAATATCATATGGTATTTTACCTTGATAATTTTGTTATTTTGAAAAAGCAGTATTTTTACATTTTTTCTATTTATACAATAGGAAAACTGTAATGATTCATCCCCAGAAATAGTAAAGTGGCTGAAACCTGATAATAGCTATCATACGGATAATACTGTAAAGCCAGTCTTGAGTCCTCACACCTCAACCCTCCCAAATTTATTTAGTGATGACAATACCAGCCCTACAGAATTTGCCTTTCCACCAGAGGGTCCCAGCACAAGCTCAAACACTGGTGGTCAAGACCAGACTATAATGTTGGAATCTTTACAGCAAATATTTCCTTGAAGAGATCCTGAAGAGCCTACCCTAGCATCAATTAAGCATGCCAATGTTAATGATGCAATCAATGATATACTAGACACAGCTCTTGATGAAAATATATCATCTAGTAAGCAGTACCAGTCTGTATTCCTTATTCACTGTTTTTTCAGAATTATTAATTGCCTTTATTTCAACAGATGGCACTGACAATTTCTGTCAAGAAGTTATGCCACTATCATCCATCAAAAATGCAACATTAGCTTTGCATTCATTCCAACAGCAAGTTGTACGGGCTGGCACACAACCAATTACGATTGACAGTCTCCAAATTTCCTTAAAAATGTCATTCAAATTTATAAAAGACATGGATTCAATCTCAAGCTTACTCCAGATATTGACTTCCTTAATGAGCTTGGCATTGATGGTGGAGGGTTGACTTGAGAATTCTTTCACTTGGTATTAGCGAGCTTTAGCAGTGACTACGAGTACGACTACGAGTACGAGATTCGTCATTCTCGCGCGTTGTTTGCTTACGCCATCAGTCAAAACTCGTAATCGTTGGGCTTTCGAGTACGAAGTTTATCAAAAAACTCGTACTCAAAAGCCCAACGACTACGAGTTTTGACTGATGGCGTAAGCAAACAACGAGCGAGAATGACGAATCTCGTACTTGTAGTTGTACTTGTAGTCACTGCTAAAGCTCCCTATTAACAAGCTTCAGACGTGGGGCACCAAATATTGGTATTAACATTTTCGAAAGTGCAGCTGATCATGTGCCAATTCATTGCAGCTCGTCATTGGATAGTAGGCTTTTTCATCTCTTTGGAAAAGTTCTCGCCCACTCAATAATCCATGGTGGGATGGGGTTTGTGAGAATGGCAAAAGCAGTTACCAAATATATTACTACTATAAGTATTGATGAGGCTTGTTGTTGTTGTTGCTCTAGAGGATATACCTGATTTAGAATATAGGGATATTGCTGAAAGGTATGTAGTCTGGTCAAATATATATATATATATATATATATATAATATTACAACAGCACGACGGACTATATACAGGAGATGCATAATTAATTAATTAGATCATGTTACATGGGTGTTACTAAGGAGAAATTTCTTTCGATGTCGGCAGGCGGATACGAGTTTGTTAAGAGAGCTTAATTCAGGGTGACAGATAATGATGAATTTTTCGGAAAGGCATAGATTACAGCGTTTGGTTTTGTCGCAGTATGGTTTTGACTTTTTCATTATTTTCCAATTGATGGTGTATGGTGTATTATTATCTTTTAATTGCCAAATGTGTTTGCTCAGTTCAGTTGCATTTTTCTTAGTTTTGTTGCGGAAGGCGCTGGTGTGGTTGAGATAGCGTGTTTTAAAAGCTTGTCATACGAAACAGTCCTGTAGTAAATAAAATTTCGATGAAGTAACCTGCGTTTTCTCATCTTGTGTTATGCCGCTCTGCATTAGCATTGAGCACTCTACCCAGATGATTTTGTATGCGCTAGTTTCTATCTTCACGATAGTTTCTATCACTACACCTGTATATATACTGTAGATATTGATAGAGTCCTTACGTTTTGTCTTAAGTTGCAGATAGACATTAATGTACATTAGTCACATTAATGTAACTAATAATAACTTAAATCCACCCGCATCTGATACACAACAATCTAATCATCCCACAGCGACCATCCCTGACAACGAAATGCAGTCAACCATGACAACGCATCCCTCAACTACCACTCATATCAGATCAACTTCAAAACAACCAATCAGACGCTCTCAACGTATACAAAGTCTTAAAGAACAGCGCGAAACTTATATATATTCACTGTATATACAATGTCCATTAACCACCGCCGTATATTTTTCAACAAATATTACATATTCATCATGTAAAATTAAGCGATCAAAGAGACCACTTCCCTACTACAATAATTCAACTGCCACGCACAGGTTGCTCTTAATAATTGCCGGCGTTGAACAGAACCCCGGTCCAAACGTAAAAAACAAACCGAAGGGAACTCAACGGAAAGCTCCCCAATGCTCTGTTTGTGAAAAACCCATCGCAAAGAATCACAAACGTTTTGTCTGTGAAGTATGCCATGATTTCACTCATGCTCGCTTTTCAAACATTACTATCAATTCAAAACTGTTTAGCAGTTCCGCTCCAACGACTTGGACTTGTCAAAAATGTCTATTTACGGTATTACCCTTTTGGAACGCAAACATATCTGAAACTTCAGTCCTTGACAGTGATTTGTCTGTTACGCAAGATGAACATTCATTAGTATTGCAAGCCAAATCTGATCAACTACGTATAATGCACTTAAACACACAAAGCATGATGTCTACATTTGATGAATTTATTCTCACAATCAATCAATTCCCCTTTGACATTATCACACTTAGCGAAACATGGTTAAAGGACAATCCGTATCTACTGGATTATGTTTCTATCCCAGGTTATGTAAATGTCTTCCGAAATAGAGATCGTATACGCGGCGGAGGTGTTGGTATATACCTTAGAGACCATATTAACTTTAAGCGGCGACAAGACATTGAGAAACTACAACCTGAAATGGAACATATCTGGCTTGAGATCCCTGGGCGCAATAAGAATAGTAAACTATTACTAGGAGTGGTGTATCGTTCGGAAAAAATCTTATCTAGGCAAATTTGGCTGGACGGTTTTAAAAGTATATTATCCTATCTGGCAGCCCAATGGGATGGGTTACTTTTGATTACGGGAGACACAAATGTAGATTTGTTAAACTCTAGTTCACCATTGACTAAACAATATTTAGAAATCCTCGACATGCATAATCTTCAGCAGATGGTCACTAAGCCTACACGTATCACAGTTACATCGCGAACACTTATCGATCACTTTATCACGAATGATGCACATAAAATCACACATACTGATGTCATCCACTGTCCACTAGTTAGCGATCACAGCGCACCGTATGTATGTGTAAATGCACGAGTCACGCGATTTTTACCGCGATATAAATACCTTAGAGACGAGCGGAATTACACCGAAGCTGCATTTGTGGAAGACTTTAAAAATATACCCATGAGTATCGTGTATAGTGTTGATGACCCTGATGGAAAACTTGAACTTTTTAATACAATGTTTTCTAACTGCCTAGAGAGACATGTTCCAATGAAACGTGCTAAAATTACCCGCCCGCCCGCCCCATGGCTTAAGGACGAAAATATAAAGGACCTTCAAGTGCAACGGAATAAACTCCAACTTGAAACTCGTAATACCAACGACCCCACACTTAGGGCAACTTACCGTCAGCTGAGGAACATGGTTAAATCTAAAATTAAGAAAGCTAAAAGAAATTTTATGCAACGAGCTTTATCTAAGCGAAACTCAAAGGCAGTATGGCAAGTCATCCATCGCGTCTTGAAGCCAAACCCAAAACCAATAAGACAAGATCCAGATAGTCTCAATGCATACTTTAGTAACATTGCCGAACGTACCGTCAATACTACTAGCAAAACCATTGAGGAGCTACATGCAATCATAAACTCGTTTCAAGTGTGTGGGAATAACTTATGTACTTTACGTCCAGTTACTTATCACGAAGTCTTTGTGAAATTAAATCTCTTCGATCTGACTGCTCAACCGGACATGATCAAATCCCTGCAAAATTTATCAATTAGTTGCAGAAGAAATTACATCTCCCCTGACCCATATTATTAACTGCTGCATTGAAAAAGAATACTTCCCCTTGGCGTGGAAGCTAGCCCGTATCTCGCCAATCCCTAAAAACAACAATCCTACAACAAACAGCGACCTGCGTGGAATCTCTATTCTACCCGTTTTATCCAAAATTTACGAAAAACTGGTATTAAGACAAATGGTGAATTTATCGACTCGCAACATCTATTACCCTCACACATATCTGGCTTTCGTAAAGGACACTCGACCACGACAGCACTAATCAGCATTAGAGACGATATTATTAAAGCGATGAACAGAGGAGAAGTTACGATCATGGTCTTTGCCGATTTTAGTAAAGCATTCGATACCGTTCATTTTGATATTATATTAAAGAAATTACACTCGATGGGTTTTTCTGCGCAATTTCTTCGGTGGACGATGAGCTACCTAACAGAAAGACAACAGTATGTCCAAATTGATGACAAGAAATCAGGGAAACTAAACACAAATTTCGGTGTTCCACAAGGGTCGATCCTCGGACCGGTGTTATTCAACTTGTATGTGGCTGATCTCGCAGATCAGCTGGGAACAATGTGTACTTGCCATCAGTATGCTGACGATACTACGATCTATAATTATGTAAAGCCAAAAGACCTTCAACTGGGTGTAAAACAAATGAATAACTCTTTCACGAATCTAGCAAATTGGTCCGATCAATCTAAACTTGCATTAAATTATGATAAGACTAAAGCGATGTTGATAACAACCCCCCAAATGGCAAATTACCACTCGTTACGAACACCAGGTATAATGAGTATTCACTTGGACAACAACAGCAGCTGCAATAATAACAGCACAACAACAGTAAACCCTTGGAGGTAATGGAAAGCTATAAGCTATTGGGAGTGCATTTGAGCAATAACCTACGATGGGACAAACATGTTAACGAAACAGTCACCTCGTGCTTTGCTTCCTTGGCAATCTTGCGTAAATTTCGCAATATGGCGCCTTTCGATTTGCGGAAACGGTTAGCTGAAAGCCTTATTCTATCTAAACTTGATTACTGTGACTTGGTATTCTACCCTCTTCCCGCTAAACAATTAAAGCATCTCCAGCGAGTTCAATCTTCCGCCGCATGCTTTGTCACAGGAAAGTTTTCAAAAGAAGATGCTGTTTTGAAATTGGGCTGGCTCCCGATGCTTGAAAGACGACACTGGCATCTGCTAAAAGCTGCGTTCAAGGCCTTGAACGATGACCAATGGCCGGAATATGCGAAATTAAAACTATATAAGCCAAGGAAACCTGGTCTCCGTTCCTCTTCGAAAGATTTTCTAGAAACACCTCTCGATAGGGACATATTCCAATATTCTGCAGCTAAATGTTTTAACAAACTACCGCCAGCCCTGAGGCTGAGGGCTGAGAAAAACTTTAGAACATTCTGTGCTGAAACAAAAACGCTCCTTCTTGATCAGGCAAGAGATCGAGTAGGATAACGCTAACGGTTTTAGCCTGTACTCCAGCATGAGAATGTTCCGGACAATTATATGTTCTTTCTAATTAACTATAACAACTAATTGTAGTATAGATATTTTACTTTGTATTAATCAATTATAGTATAGGCATATTGTAGATGAAGAGCCATGTAAATGGAAGGCTACAATAAATTCGTTATTATTATTATTATTATTATTAATATATAAAGCTATACACATGTAAATAATTTAGATATTCTGAAGAAGACTCGAAGTACCGAGTCGAAAGCTCAATAAAAAACAATTTTAAATCCGGAGAACATTCATTGATAAACAAATATGCCTGGATTACAAATTTTTAAACATATATATATATATATATATTAATATTATTATAATATATATATATATTATATATTATAATATATATATATATATATATATATATATATATATATATATATATGAAATTAGTTTTCCTAGGCTTTTCAGCTAAAAATTTGATAGGTTTAAGTTATTCATGAAGAGATTTTGGAAATATAATACATACAAAATTTTAAGAAAAGGAGTACATAAGTGGCACATTAATTTAAAATAGAGTTAAGCTATTGTTGAACTTCTAAGTAACATGTTATACCATTGGTATCTTGTGTAGATAATCTTTGTGTAATATCATGTACCATTAATACTTGTTCTTCTGTCAAAACATATGGTATTTCTGCTACCTGTACATTATTACTGGACTGTTCTTGAGGTACAGGTCCATCCTCTTCGATTCCCAAATCAAGGTGTAGGGCCAGGTGTAGGGCCATCAAATCGAGTTCACTTTCTGGATTAAAAGCGTATGTTGTTCTAAGAATAGAAATATATTCACAAATCGACTTGCTATAGTTCGATTAGTTTACCTCCACAATCTTTTGATCCTCTGATTGTGGACTGAGCTTCCAGTAATGAAGCTTCCTCTGTTCAAACCACGATTTAAAAGCATAAATTGCCCAACCTCAATATTCTCCATTCCATAATCTAATCAGACTCGCAAAGAAATATTGTAGCGGGAAATAACATTTTGAAATAATTTAAGAACTGTGGAAGCCTTGTTGTTATTTGATGCTTGTAAGAATACAATCAATCTTGAAAATCCATCAATTCCTCCATGGATTAAAATTCAATATGGTGTGATCAGTTTGTGGTTTCCATCTAAGTGCCTAAATTTAAAAGAGGACAATGAGAAAATATTCCACACCAGTTTTACCTAGTTTATATACAATGTTTAGTAATATTCAGTTAAATTGGTAAAATAATGTTTAATACAGACAAATACTCTTACTAACCACAGGAAGTTAGGGCATGGCACATTTTAAATCCTTCTGATTATTGTTCTTCAGCCACGTAAGGATGTCTGGACTGGGTCAACTCTTGCAATTGATGCTTCTACCCGTCTTCTTTGTACAAGTAATCGTCTACTAAGAAGCGCTCGTCGGACGAGGTTTCGTCCCGCTTGGGGAGTAGTCTGCAGCACTTCTCTAACAATGCTGTCTAAGTCGCTATCAGTTATGTTGGAGTATGCTGAACTGGTAAACGTACCAGATTCCTGATGCCGTCTGCGAAGCGTCCTAGCTGAAACACCAATCATATGAGAAATGTCTGTCCACGAAAATCCTAGCCATCCAAGTTCATTTGCGTCTGTTTCATTCACAGCATATCGAGGCCGTCCCTGGTTAGCTGTCCAATGTACTGGGGCTTGAAATGTATTTTTGTTAAAATTTCCAAGCTCTCTACTTTCTTGCTGAATGACGCCATCTTGTAAACGTATTCTCGTATTTGTAGTTATATCTAGCAATTGTGATATGTTATTATGCAGTTGTAATGCTGCAGGAAAAGCCTCCAACAGTCTTGCAGCTAAAATACGCATAGTCCTCTCATAATCTTCAATTTGCCTTGCAAAAAAATCAGCCCTATCATTCTCTATATCAGTAAGATTGATTCCATCAGTGAGCACACAGCAATCGGACTAAAAAAATTCTTTAATGTTCGGTAACCACCTCGCCGCCATTTTGTCGAAAGCACGTGAGAGACAAAGGGAATGCTAATAATTATGCAAATAATTATGCAAATAATTATGCAAACTTTCTGTTTCTGATTTTTAAGTCAATATATGCTAATTTAATTTCGACTTTAACTCGTGTTGTGTTGGACTTCGACACGAAGAAGTTGGACTTCTGCTACAAAACATGGACATAGATTTTTCATTTTTGGACTGAAGAAACGCGAAATTTGAACTCTTTACAAATTTTGACCATATCGTATATTAGTCCACTATGGGCAAGCATAGATCAGTGTTTCACTCACAACACATTAGGAAGAACAGCAACATGACGTCAACACCCACCAAACGTAAGTCCACCACGATTGACAAACTAAATCACAACTGATGTGCGCGATGGTTAACAAATTGATAAATTCTTCGCCAGGTTCGAAGCACAGAAAACCTACCAACTTAGCTCGTTCAAAATCAAAAAGTCTTACGACAACAACCCCAACACCATAGAGATACTCCTCGACAAAGAACTGCTCCAAAGACATCCACATCTTCGGCTGCTTCACCATGAAAATCCAACAACTTCTTGAGTCAGACAACCTAGCATGCTACAGATTCATCAACGTTAAAGCATAGGTCATGAAGATTGAAGAACCATACAAGGTCGGTGTGTTTCCTGATACCAAAACCAAACGCGAAGTTGTCCTAGCTGATGACCTTGAAACTTTGGACATTAACTAAGTTATTAATTTACATTTTAGTCTTTTATATGCTTATACAGGCTGTTCAAGTTTGTAGTTTTTTCTGAATAATTTTCATCATTGTAAATACTTGCTTTCTAAAAAAATCCATTTTTAAATAAAAGTTGATGGAACAGTATCTGATTGCTCACTTTCCTTATTTGTTCTATACTTCCTACTTTCTTTTACACATAAGTTTTCAATCACAACTATGTGCCTTAATTATCTCCTAGCTGCATGAGCAAGACTTATACATGTTTATAACTTTCACAATTAAAAATTCCTCTCCCAATTAAAGTCTGACACCTATACATTAAAGTGCCTATGTCATGTTTGGGAAAATAGACTTTTTAGATAGTTTAAACGATTTTAAGAACTTTTGCAATATATTTGATAGGTCGAAAATTTCATCTTCATCGACTTTCAGGGCCTCAAAGTTGGTGATTTTGATTAAAACCGTGACCTTAAAAGGACTAGGGCGAGAACGGGTGTGAGATGGGTTGTGACGTCATTTCGGGAAGTCGCATTTCTTGTAAAGCCGTAAAACACTGTATTTTATATATTGCGCAAGCGAAGATAGACTTTGAATTGTACTTTCTCAATATTTACTGTCACGTTTCGTTTAATTTTTGGATGCGACAATGTCGTGAAGCTTTAGTTATCCCTTCAGCGGCGAGGTGAATCAGAAAATAACGCCGAACAAGCTGTTCATTGGCATTGCTACGATCGAACAATCTTGAAGATGACGCTTCTCTGAGGCTCTGACTCACACAGTGCTCTGACTGCAGA